GACGGGGGGGGGGGGGAAGAATAAAAAGGAGGCTGAACTCAGTTTTAGTGCAGAAAGGAAAAACAACTATAATAAAAAGGATTCAATTGTAGTGCAGAATTGCTTGGAAGACACATGGATTAAAAGGAGAGTGCAGGATTGCAAGACTAGATCTCATGGGTGGCAATTACAAGGGAGTCGCTACCGGCTAAATATCAGGAGAAACTTCCTAACTGTGAGAGTGGTTGAGCAGTGGAACAGACTGTCTCGGGAGGTGGTGGAGGCTCCTTTGCTGGACGTTTTCAAGCGGAGGCTGGACGACCATCTTTCGGGTATGCTGTAGGGCTATCTTTTGGCTGTGTGTCCGATTCCCCACGCATTCAAATAAATCCACGTTTGCAGAACAAAGTCAAATTTATTAATAAGCGATGGTTAGATCAGGAACACAAGCATTGTTAGGAATAACTACAGACCTCAAAGGGGAACATAATAAAGGAACTTGAACCAGGTTAGGACCAATGAGCCCAATTCCCGCTGGCGGGAATGTAGATGAAATGAGCGCCCAATTCCTTGGGAACACAAGGGTTCTACAACATAAACACAAGTCCAGTTCTCAGGCTTTGGATACATAACAAGCAAAGCAACGCCATAACCCCATCCCACCTCCAGCTGCATGACCTTGAGCAGTTCCGCAGAAGTAGCAAACTAAAGAAAGTAAACACCTACACAGGAAGGCACGGGGGGGGGGGGGAAGGGACAGGGCACACTCCAACGGTTACAATGTAACACACCACTCTATGGCAGCTTGCTGACACTGTGCTCCTGCAGAGTGCAGGGGGTCGGACTGGATGACCTGCAAGGTCCCTTCCAGCTCTCACATTCTATGGTTCTGTGAAACGGCCTTAGAGGAGAAGGGTCTCGAGGAGGCGCTTTGGCCACGCGGGGCTCACCTCGGAGAGTAGGAGGGATGCAGGCTTCTTGCACCGGAGTAGGCCTCGTCAGGCCCATCTGCTCCGCTTGGGCCACCAGCCAGGGCGCCAGGCCGAGCGCCCGGAACGCCGCCATCCCGGACCCGAGAACAGCTCACCTCCGTCGCTTCCTACTTCCCTTCGCGCACTAATGACGGGACGCCGCAAAAGACACACCATTCCCAGCCTGCATCGCGGCGGTGTCGCCGCGCGGATTGCTCGTCACGGCGACTCGGCTTCAACACCCCCCCCCCCCCCCCCCCGCCCGCCAATGCCCCGCGAGGCCTGCTGGGGCGCGTCGATACAACTACATCTCCCAGGAGGCGTTGCGTCCAGAGGTGGGCTATGGCTGCTCTGATTGGTTCATCTCGGAAGGGGCGGGTAGGCCGGCGTGTTCCCGACGTGCCTTGCGCGGGAGGAACCGACGTGTCCGAGCCGAGATGGCGGCTGTGGCGGCCGGTCAGGGGGAGACCGACGAGCTCTTCGACGTCAGGAACAACTTTTACATCGGTGCCTTCCAGGCGGCCATCAACGAGGCGCAGCGGGTGAAGGTGAGAGGCGTTGCCATGGGGGTAGCTGGACCGGTTGGATCTCTGCCTGACAGCGCCCCCTCTACGCCCATCAGGGGGCGACCCCTCTCCTGGGGTGATTTGGGGGGGTGGGGGGCTTGTAGGGACCGGCAAGCGTTTGGGGGTGCTCTACGCATAGCCCTGCGAGGTAGGCCGGTCTTCTTAAGTCTTAAAATCATAACGTTGGAAGGGACCTACGCGGTCATCTAGTCCAACCCCCTGCAGAAGGCAGGAAACCCGCAAATGAAGCACTCGAAGCCCTGAGGTATCAAGAGAATAGCCTTCTGTGATTTAAAAGCCCACCTACTTTTTAAAAAAATGTGTGCTTTTAATACACTGAAATTCAGCTCTGCAGGACGAGGAGGAGGTAATGTTACACTGCAGAACACAGATGAATTTTGTCCTCCTGAGAGAGCAATGGAAAAAAGCAAGAGTCCAGGAGCAATTTAGAGACTACCAAAATATATGGCAGGGACTCCCATTCTAGCTGTATCTGAAAAAGCAGTGACTCACGAAAGCTCCTCCACTGCCACATATTTTGCTAGTCTTTAAGGTGTCAGTGGACTCTTGCTCTTTTCTCCTGCTACAGACAGACTGACACGCCCACCCATCTTAGTCTATCTGAAGAAGTGAGCAGTGACTCAGGAAGGCTCCTCCCCTGCCACCACTTATATTGTTAGTCTTTAAGGAGCTCCTGGACTCTTGCTCTTTTCTACTGCTACAGACAGACTGACACGGCCACCCATCTTGATCTGTCACCATGAGAAAGTGAATTACCTTAATGACGGTGGTGTCAATCCTGGATCTGGGCCTTTCTGGAGCGGTTTTGGGGATGCAGAGCGTAATATTGGTGATACTCTAACAATGTGGGATCATTTGCGTCCAGTGGCACCTTTAAGGCCAACAAAGTTTTCTTCTGGGTATAAGCTTTTGTGTGCACGCACACTTCTTCAGAGACATTGAAATAGAGTCCCCAGCCATTACATATAGGTGGCGGGTGAGGAGAGTGTTGCCAGGAAGGGCCGATCAGAACTAAAACCTGTGAACAGCAGCAGATTAGCATACAGTATAATCAGGGGTCATTTCGTAGAAAAAGAGGTGCAGGAGCTCATTAGCATGACTTATTTGCATATGCCACACCCCCTGACATCACCGGAAGTGTGTCAGTAGGCAACACCCACCGCTCAGGCTCCACTGGACTGTTTTGGATTGCTAGCTATTGGGGGGGGGACGCGCAGATCTGTTCTCGCAGAGGAGGGAGAGCTTGTACCTGAAGGCGAGCCAGGGGGGCGGCTCTGCAACTTACCTGGCTGCTTCTTGCTCCTTGTGGCCCAACTGAGGGCTGCTGGGAGCAGGGGGCGGGGCTTGTTGCATGTGCTCCTTCCCTGGGCTCTTTACAAACAGAGGCAAGAACTGAATGACACTAGCGTGTGTCGCGAGTAGGATTGTGTTACGGCTCCATATGATAGCAGGGAAGGGGACGGCACAACTTTTCTAGGGCCATTGGGTGAGTTTGTGGCGGAAAGGAGAACTGAGTCTCCCTGAACCAAATCTCGCTCTGAAGCAGGATGCGTGCGCAACGCACATGGAAGCTTATACCCAGAATAAAACTTTGTTGGTCTTAAAGGTGCTACTGGCCTCAAACTTTGTTCAAATCTTTGCTCTGTTCTTTATTCAAATCTTGCTCTGTATGTTTCTTGGGTCTTCTTGCATCTGTGGGACTGCCTTTTCCTGTAGGCTCTGCCATGACAGCTTCACTCAGCTGAGCAGGACCTTCTGCACATGGGCGAGATCAGCAACTGCCTATCTGTGTGCCTTCTCTGTCATGAGCCCCCTCCCTTGTGGAATGGTCTGCCTCGAAGAGGTCAGGCAGACCTTCATGCTCCTTCCTTTCTGCAGACAGGGCCGGCCCCAGCTTATTTTGCACCCTAGGCGAGGATCCATTCTGCCGCCCCCCCCCTTTCAAAGTGCATTGAAAATGCCCCGTGCTTTTGCAACCAAATAGAGCATGGCACCATTTGATAAGGCACCAGCTTTCCTCTCTAGAGTTGCTGTACTCTTTCCTCTTGGTGGCTCCGAGCCCCCACCCCCCACCCCGCAATGAAAGCTCATCAGCAGAACGTCCCTTCCCTGTGGGCTGGCTACTGGCTGGCTGGGGCGGGCTGCCTGTGACTGCGAGGGAATGGAATCACTCAGTGATCACTCGCTCAGGCTGGATGGCTCAGAGGGTCTGCAAATGGGCATGCCCACTGCGCGCGAGTTGGGGCGGGCCGCAGGTGGGACTCGGGAGTGCCTAACCCCCCCCTCTGAGCCCCCCAAAAGTGAAACTGGAGCGCAAGCCACAGCGAAAATGAGTTTTGGGATGACGGCCGGAGGGAGAAAGAGGCGGCGGCTGGGGTCAGGAAGATGCAGGGCTTTTGGCGGGGGGGGGGGTCTTTTGGTGTTGGTGCAGGCGGGTGCAGTTTGGCGCCCTGATTATCAGCCCTCTCTAGGTGAACGTCTAGTTCGCCTAGTGAGCGGGCCGGCCCTGTCTGCAGACTACATAAAAACAGAATTATTCGGCAGGGCATTTTCATAAAGGAAATAGCACTGTGTTCTAGTAGATTGACTCAGGGAAATGCACAGTGTTTCTACCGATGTAATACCACACCATGTCAAGTTTAGTACTTATGCTTTGGTGGGACAACAGTTCCTTTTTCAATTTCTTGCAATTCCTTGTTCTATTATATTGCTTATTGGATGTATCATCTTGTCGGTTGCATTGATTTCGGTTGTGTGGCCCACTTTCAGGCTCGGCGACAAAGGCGGGCTAACTCTATAAATCCAAGCGGAGACCGAGTATATGACTAGCTTGTAAGTTGTGCCTTTTCTAGAGCCAGTTTGGTGCAGTGGTTAGGAGCACAGACTCTAATCTGGGAGAACCAGGTTTGATTCCGCACGCCTCCACATGCAGCCAGCTGGGTGACCTTGGGTCAGTCACAAGTTCTCTCAAGGGCAGTTCTCTCAGAGCTCTCTCAGCCCCACCTACCTCACAGGGTGTCTGTTGTGGGAAGGGGAAGGGGATTGTAAACTGCTCTGAGACTCCTTTGAGTAGTGAAGGGAGGGATATAAATCCAATCTCTCATCTTATATTGTTTTCTTATTAAAAAGTGTGTGGTTATGAGACAGTGAGGACCCCCCCCCCACTTGACAGTTTCCTGTTCCCCTCCTGCTGCATCTTCTTCTCCTCACTGGCCATTGGTTGTGAACATTTGAATTCCCAAACCAAGGCTTGTTGAGGGAGCCACAGAGACAGCAGGATAGAGAGGCCGTTTTCTCTGCTGAGAGGTGGGAAAGAGGCAAGAAGCAGATGCGCCAGTTTTTACACACAGGCCAGGATTTGTTAGTTATGTCTGATCCAAACATTGGTTTAGAAAAGCCGCTGTTTATTGCAACATCCCAAAGCAGTGGTGAAAGTGACTGAACTTTCTCGTCTCTTCAGCCATCCAGCCCAGAAAAAGAAGCGGAAAGGGACATCTTCCTGTATCGGGCTTACATTGCCCAGGTGAGTCTACTTCTGAGCTAGCGTGGCCCTGTTGAAGCTTTAATGTGTGTGTGTGTGTGTGTGTGTGTGTGTCTCAGCAGACAAATGTTGTCAGACGGCTGTCGGAAGAAATGGCCGTCATGTCCTTTCTGAGTGCTGCAGTAAGCTGTTTCAGTTTTGCGCTCTAGAAATGGGGACTTCCTTTTCTTACCCTCCCTTCCCCACTGTTTGGACAGAGAAAATATGGCGTGGTGCTAGATGAAATCAAGCCCAGTTCATGTCCGGAGCTCCAAGCCGTGCGGATGTTTGCCGAGTACCTTTCAAATGAGAACCAGAGGTGAGTCCAGCCCCGGAGGAGCCCAGCCTGTCTCTCTCAGGCTCACTCTTAAACCCTGGGAATGGCGTCGCGTGTATCGATTTATCACCCTCCTTTCCTCATAAGGGACCCGATCGTGGCCGAGTTGGACAAGAAGATGGCCAAGAGCATGGACGCCTCCAACACGACGTTCCTTCTGATGGCGGCGTCTGTGTATTTCCATGACCAAAACCCGGATGCGGCGCTAAGGGCCCTGCACCAGGGAGACAGCTTGGAATGGTGAGCAAGCATGGGGAGAGTGTCAAGTTAAGACTGGGGAGGTCTGGATTCGAATCCCCACTCAGCCGTCAAGCTCATGAGACGATGGCTTTCTCAAACTTGTCGTGTGGGGTTGTTGAGAAGAGAGTTTCTTGGGAGCAGGGTGGGGAGAAAATGTGCCCCTTTCGTATGCTGACCCTTTACTGTGAACTGCAGAGAGGCAGAGTTTTTTTTTTTTAAATGTGTATTATGATTTAATGGGGTTTGCAGCCCATCCCAGGCCCTTGGGGAGATGGGACTATTTATTGTAGTCTGTCTCTGGCTCTGCTCAAATCCAGTTTGAATGCTCTTGTACAGGGCTCTTTTGTAGCAGGAATTCCTCTGCATATTAGGCGACACACCCCTAACGTAGCCAATCCTCCAAGAGCTTACAGACCTCTTCTTACAGGGGCTACTGTGAGCTCTTGGAGGATTGGCTCCATTAGGGGTGTGTCACCTAATATGCAGAGGAGTTCCTGCT